CCGAGTCTGAAGTTGCAGGCCGGGCGGTCGTCTTCCCAGATATGCCTACGTATCGCAGGAACCCGGCCATCTCGGATTGGTCTACAACTATTGACGGGGCGGTGGTTGCCACAGCTCTGGCGGCTACAGCCACAGCGGAAGGCCTGGAAGCCATCCCTCTTGTACAGCATCGCCCGGTACTTGTGCATCTCAGTCTTCGCCCTGCCTTTCACGAGGCACTACGGTGGGATGTGGTACAGCCATTCAAATGGGCGCCTGGGACCAGGATACGGCGACGGCATTTTCCACAGCACTCTCTACGGACATCGATCTGGCCTGGCGTATTTGGCAAGATGCGTCGGGGGCCGCTCATTCACGAGTCGTCAGACAGCCGTCTGGCGGAAGCTGGAATGCAGGGGCCAGTGCACGCGAGTTGGCGGGTCTCTGGAAGACGTATCGCCGGCAGAGATTTGATGCTCGATATGACGCCGCTGATCACACCCTTGCCTGCATCAGCGAGATTATTGATGACGCCAACGTGCAGCGGATACGCGATTGGAAGGAGCGTACCCTCACGCGCGGGGGAGCGGCGCGATGGGTGCGCACGAAAGTGTCCAGCCTGACCGCCCCCATTCTTCCCAAGTTCGGTGCCGCGGCATTTCCCCCGCGGGACCTTGCACGAACGCTGGCCCTTGGCTTGGCAACCAGATGGAATTCAGCTGTATTTCAAATTCGGCATCTTCCTGGTTTTCGTGTCGGTTTCAACGGCAGCACTTTGACCCAGCAGGGCTGCGGGAGCACTGCGCCGATCTTCCTCCACGTCCTCGTGTACCTTTTGATCGCACTCTTTTTCCTGAAGTTCCGGCTTACATACCTCCTGCCCCATGGCGCACCGAGCATGTTCTTGAGTTCCTGCCGAGTGGCAGCGCCGGGTTGGATGGGAACCAAACGGACTGGGTGGACAGACTTCACCAAGGCTCTCTTGATCGATTGGCGGCGCTGTACAACCAGGCTGATCTTGGCCGGCCCCCTCAGCACTGGCGGCATGCGAGAGTGACCCTGATCCCGAAGGGGCCGGAATCAGCTCCTGACGACCGTCGCCTTCTGACAGTGCTCCCGGTGCTGTACCGTCCGAGGGCGCGACGCCACGCAGCCCACCTCAACGAATGGCTTCTGACGTGGAAGCCGACCGGGCTCGCCGGCGCGGTCCCGAACCACTCGCGCCCGGACATCTTGTGGCAAATCCAAACCCGCCTGGCTAAGGCCAGGCTGGGACTCGACGAGCCCTGGTTCGTTCTCAGTGTGGATCTGGCGCAATGTTTCGACCAGCTTGACTTGGGCAATCTCCGGCAGCTCATCGAGTACCTCGACCTGCCTGTGCGCGCGCATGCGTTGGATATGTATCAATCTTTCACGCGGATGCTGTTCGTCGACGGCGAGCCCACCGACGTGTGGTTGAGCGGAGAATATTTGTGTGGAGTGCCGCAGGGTTGCCCCTGGCGTGCTTCTAACGTTATTGCAATCTGACATCCACCCTGTGGCACGCTGCCGTGGCCAGATCGGTACCAACAGCAGTGATTTTCCTGATCTTGATGATCGCTTTGTCATGGCTCGGAGCTGGACAGATCTTAATGAGATTCTGAACGTCACCATGCTGCTGGACAAATCAATTGGACCTGCACTTAATATTGGAAAGTGTGCTAGGGGGGCCGTTGGCCGACCCAGACGGCGCCCTCCTGATCGCGCGGATGCTCTCATGAAGCGCGTGCCGCTCAAGAAGTCTTTCCGCTACCTGGGCATCGACTTCACCATGGGCTCAAGTGATCCGGCGCCGGTTGCGGCGAGGAGGAAGGCTTCTTTCAGAACGAGATGTAGCGTGGCGAGGATGCCCCCGTATTCTCAACGCGGCGCTGGGATCGCAGACGCTTTTTCAAGTGCCATACAGTGGTAGTTGTGGTCATATTTGTTTGCAGCAGTAGCAGGGGTGTCAGCAGTAGTGGTAGACGTTGACGTCGCAGCAGTAGCAGCACAAGTAGTAGTAGTAGTAGCAGCAGCAGTAGCAATCGTAGTAGTCGTAGTAGTAGTAGTAGTCGTCGTAGTAGTAGTAGTAGTAGTAGTAGTAGTAGTCGTAGTAGTAGTAGTAGTAGTAGTAGTAGTAGTAGCAGTAGTAGTAGTAGTAGCACTTGTACTAGGAGTGGTACCAGTACGACCGTGGATGCAAACAATTAACGCGAACCTTATTCATAACATTGGATTTCGCCATTCAAAGGCCGCGAGTTCCACGTAGGGCAAGATCGGCAGCTGCCCGCGAAAATGTAAACAATAAACGCGAAACACGGAAGCATTTTTTTCAACCTGGGGCCGTTCATGCCCAGCTTGCGTCCCATATCTTTGAATGGCGGAATTCAATGTTACGGATGGGTGTCGCGCTAATTAGTTACATCCACGGCTGCCATTTTGTTGCGGGCCCCAAGACTGCGCATCTGAGGGTGGCAGAAGCGAAGCGCGTCGGAAAATGTTCGAGCCTAGCGTAGTCTTGGGACCCGTAACAGCGTAGTCTTGGGGCCTGTAACAAAATGGCAGCCCCTTCCAGCAACGCTAACCTAGTATCCTTTACGCGCTACTTACGTGATATTGAATCAACGAATAGTAGCCAGCGTGGCCCCCGAACGCCGATGTCTTGCAATCCACGCGGTGCAATCTAGGCGGTGCAACGCATGCTATGCAACCTAGGTGGCGCGAGCCACGCGGTGCAGTTCATGCAAGCTTCTTGGATAAAGAATATTCGGATATTCTTATGCAAGAATTTCCAACGTTACGAACGGCGTCGTTTTTGTTAAGAACTCCTGCACCAGAGCTCCAAAAAGGCATTCATAACGCTGGAAGGTTGCAGCCCTATCGCACTTCGTGGCTTTCATGTTCGTTTCGCCCTAGCCAGGCTAGGACACACAACAAATCATAACGTTGGACAGTGTGAAATTCTTGTCCAGAATCACGATGCATCTTGCCAGAACACCACTCCCAGGCTACATCGTGAGTGCCCGGAGCCAACTGTAGGCCACTTTGTGTTCTTTTTGTTCCCAGAACACCACTCCCTGGCCACATCTTGGGTGCACGGAGCCAACTCTAGGCCATTTTGTGCTTTGCTTTGCGTTGCTTTGGGTTGCTTTGCTTTGCTGTGCGTTGCTTTGCGTTCCTCCGCTTTGTTTTGCATTGCTTAGCGTTGCTTGGCGCTGCTGTGCATTGCATGAACTGCACCGCGTGGCTCGCGCCACCTTGGATGCATAGCATGCGTTGCGCCGCCTAGAATGCACCGCGTGGATTGCAAGACATCGGCGTTCGGGGGCCACGTTGGCTACTATTCGTTGCTTCGATAACACGTAAGTAGCGCATGAAGGGATACTAAGTTAGCGTTGCTGGAAGGCCGTGGATGCAAACAATTAACGCGAACATTATTCATAACATTGGATTTCGCCATTCACAGGCCGCGAGTTCCACGTAGGGCAAGATCGGCAGCTGCCCGCGAAAATGTAAGCAATAAACGCGAAACACGGAAGCACTTTTTTCAACGTGGGGCCGTTCATGCCCAGCTTGCGTTCCATATCCTTGAATGGCGGAATTCAATGTTACGGATGGGTTTCGCGCGAATTCTCTACATCCACGGTAGTACGTAGTAGTAGTAGTAGTAGTAGTAGTAGTAGTAGTAGTAGTAGTAGTAGTAGTAGTAGTAGTAGTAGGTTCTCATAGTAGTAGCGGTAGTAGTAATAGTACTAGTAGTAGTAGTAGTAGTAGTAGTAGTAGTAGTAGTAGTAGTAGTCAGTAATAGTAGTAGTAGTAGTAGTAGTAGTAGTAGTAGTAGTAGTAGTAGTAGTAGTAGTAGTAGTAGTAGTAGTAGTAGTAGTAGTAGTAGTAGTAGTAGTAGTAGTAGTAGCAGTAGCAGTAGTAGTAGTAGTAGTAGTAGTAGTAGTGGTGGTGGTGGTGGTGGTCGTAGCAGTAATAGTAGTAGTTGCAACAGAAGTAGTAGTAGGAGTAGTAGGAGTAGTAGTAGTAGTAGTAGTAGTAGTAGTGGTAGTAGTAGTAGTAGTAGTAGAGGTAGTAGAGGTGGTAGTGGTTGTGGTGACAGTAGTTGTAGCCGTAGTTGTATTCGTAGTAGTCGTAGTAGTAGTAGTAGTAGTAGTAGTAGTAGTAGTAGTAGTAGTAGTAGTCGTAGTAGTAGTAGTAGTAGTAGTAGTAGTAGTAGTAGTAGTAGTAGTGGTCGAAATAGTAGCAGGAGCAGCAAAAGTAGTAGTAGTAGTAGTAGTAGTCGTCGTCGTCGTCGTCGTCGTCGTCGTCGTAGTAGCAACCGTACAAGTAGTAGCAGTTGTAGAAGTAGTGGTAGCAGTAGTGGTGGTGGCAGCAGTAGCAGTAGCAGTAGCAGTAGCAGTAGCAGTAGCAGTAGCAGTAGCAGTAGTAGTAGTAGTAGTAGTAGTAGTAGTAGTAGTAGTAGTAGTACAGTAGTAGTACAGTAGTAGTAGTTGTGGTCGTAGTGGTCATGTAGTAGGCCAATGCGATAGGCTAAGCCTGTGCCAGTGGGCGCTGCCATTAGACAAGTCAGCTGATGTGACGGTAGCTGCGCCAAAGGCAGTGACCTGACATGTACGCAGTAGCAAGACAGGCTCTCAAAGGTGAGTCAAAGAAGTTGTTGTAGGTTGTTCTTGCTTAACGGAGGCAGGTCTGTGATACGTCTGGCCAGTTGTGTTGGAGACCCGAGGCCCGCCCCGCCAACCTCTTCCATCTCGATTTGTTGATCAGGCAGATACACACGCACAACTCATTTCCAACATGTGTGTCTCCGCCACCCCATGTTCCACAATGCTTGGGCTCAAGGCAATTTGGCCCAAGGGCGCTCGGCCCGCGACCACCCATCGCACTCTCAGACGTTCACAAAACACGTCGACAACATGCTCTCAGCAGCCTATTCATCTACTCTCTCTCGCGAGTCCAAGGGACACCCTGCCGCTGAAGGTGTTCCTGTCGGGCGA